CTAGGTGCCCCTCAAATATCATGTGAGTCTTGCCCTGTAAGGCAGGCTCCTCTCAGTCTGGCTCTCTTCCTAGGTGCTCTAAGGAAGCTAAGCACAGGGCACTCCACCAGGGTCACCAAAGTGCCCAATCTTTCCCACCCTGCATCAGTCCCTATCAAGATAGCCCACCCCTCTCCTTTCACACTGGAAGGACTCTAAGTTTTCTCAAGGAGTCTTTGCAAACAATGGTGGCCTCTCTGTTGGGGGAAGGAGTAGAGAACGCTGATGAGGGGACTCTGTTTGTTCACAGGGGTAGCTCAGTGGACTCTCATTCTTGTCAATACTGTACCAATTCTAAGTTTGTCACTTTCACTATACTTCTGGACGTGGGCTCCCTCTTCTGGTTCAGAGGATATGAATATGACATACAAGATACAGGAAATTATATCTGCATTATTGCAGTTGCAAGATCACTTGGGCACTGGGTAGAAAGATGATTATAGCTGAATGGATCAATAATTTTTAAGCAAACATTGTAAAGACCTAAGTTAACTTATTTAATCCAGAATTATACATGTATAAAGACTCAGTGTGTAAGAAATTATGCCACTTGAATGAGGAAAAATCTGGCTTATTCGTCATTCCAAAAGTAATCATTAACATTTATTGGTGCTTCTTATGTTCTAGGTATTACTATTAACATTTTATGTAAAGAATTATGTGACTTTTTATTATGGGAAACTTCAAATTTAAGAAATAAAGAAAAGATCATAAAAGAATCTCTATCACCACCCACTTTCAACCATTATCATCAACATTTTAACATTTTCCCATATGTGTTTCATCAACCACCGTCATTCTCCTTGTTCAATTTTTTTTCTGGAGTATTTAAAGCAAATGCCAGATGTCCTATAATTCACTCATAAATATCTTAAATGTATTCTAAACTTTTAAAATATATTAGCTATTTTAGTCCTCACAACAAAAGTAGATAGTTATTATTCCCATTTTATATATCTATAAACTGAGGCAAATGTTAGTAAGAGACTCAAACCCTGGAGTCTGACTGCAGAGCCTGTGTGGTAGCCAGCCTCCAAGATGGCCCCGATCTCTGCCTCCTTGTATTCACACCTTCTGTAGTGCCCTCATGCGTTTTACCAGGGTTGGTCTACGAGACCAACAGTGTATGGCAGAAGAGGTGGTATATCACTTCTGAGATCAGACTGTGACTTCTGTCTTGGGTGCCTGCTCTCTCTCTTTCTTGGATAATTTGTTCTGGGGGAAGACAGCTGCCATGTTAGCAGCCCCATGGAGATCCCCAGATGGTGAGGAAGCAAGCCTCCAGCCAACAGCCAGGGAAGAACTGAGGTTTGCCAACAACTTCATGAGGGAGCTGGAGGCAGGTTCTCTCGTCCTGTTTGAGCCTTGAAATGACTGCAGCCAGAGCCAACAGCTTGACTGCAACCTCATGAAAGACCTTAAGCCAGAATCATCTAGCTAAGCCACTCCCAGATTTCTGACCTGCAGAAATTGTGATATAATAAACATTTGTTGTTTGAGCTGCTATGTTTTGGGGTAACTTGTTATGTAGCAATAGATTACTAACATACCCTGTATCCTCGATTACTGTTCTATTCTGCCCCACACACAAGTTTGTAATAGCTTTTGCTTTGCCATTTCTATGATACTTGATGTTAAGGACAATGCTGAGGCAGGGCAATGAACTGCAAAGATATACAGGGGATTTTAATATTAGACATGCATTTCATTGTTACTCTAATCTGTGAGAGGTGAATACGGCAACTCTTTAATAAGAGGACTAGTTAGTTAAACCAAATATTCCATATTCATATCATTTCCATATCAGCACAACTAATCTACCTCATACTTTAAAAAAAATGACTACAGAATATTCTATATTAGTTATTAAGCCAATTCTCTATTAATTGACATTTTGACTGTTCCCAGTTTTTGTGGGTTTTTTTTTTTTTTTTTTGCTGTTACAAATCATGCTTCACTGAACATCTTTATATATGCTATGTTGGTGAAATTTGCAAATATAGCCCTATGGAATATTTCTAGCAGTGGGCTTGACAGGCCAAGGGTGCATTCTACACTGACAGTGACTGTCAAATCAGCTACACAAAAGTTCCACTTATTTACGATGTCACCAATCCTATGTGAGTTTCCCTGTCTTCTCACACTTTCATTAAAATCACAAAGCACTAGACTTCTAAATTTTGCCTATCCAAAAGGTGAAAAATATCTTCTGTAGTGTGGATTTGCATTTCTTTAACTGTGGATGATGTTATCCTCTATAAGTTTATTGGTCATTAGTATTTCTTTTTCTCTGAACAGTCTGTCCTCACCCTTTACCCAATTTTAATCTTAGTGGTTCATAAGGGCTCTTTATAAAGTATGGAAATTAGCCTGTCAAATGTGTTGCTAATATTTTTCTCAGTCATTTGAGCTTTTGAGCTTTGACTTTATGATTTATGGATTTGTCTGCTACTTAGTAAGGCTTTCCCTATTCTACAATAACAAGATATACGTTCCCATGCCTTATTCTAGAAGCTTTTGTTTTTCATTTGTTACATAACATCTTTGCTCCCTCTGAAACTTATTTTGGTTTAAGGAGCATTTTTTGTCCCCCAAAAGTTGTCTCATTATTTTGACACCATATATATAATAATTTGTCATTCCCCATCAATTTGAGGTCTCACCTTTGTCACAATCTAACTCTCCATATATATTTGGGTCTATTTTGAAATCTTTATTCTGTTCCATTGACCTGCCCATTTTTTTTGCAAGTACTAAAGTGCTTTAATTATTATAGTGTTGACACAAACAATCAATAACCAATCTATAGATAAGAAAGGGAAGGTGATATCTATTGAGCCAAGCTGAGGACTATTCCGGAAGTACAGTATTCTCCAGGGAAGAAAGCACTCCCGAGAAGCGTGGTTTAGAGCATGGTTATACACTGTTTCAGAACAAAGAACATATATCAAGCATGACAGGAATACAGCTTTTTTTCCTCAAAGTCACAAGGAGTTGTTTTGCTGCAGTTTAGCACTTACATGACAGGTCAACTTGACCTTGGTTTTCTGGAAAGAAAAACCTTATCTTCAAAGAAGTCCTGGTACTGGCATGAGGGGAAGGGGGACATTCAGCCCTACCTTTAAAGAGTACATTCTTTGCTTTGGGATAATGTTTGAAGCAGATGTACAATGCATGTTTGGCAGGCCATAAGTCAGGCTTCCCTGGGAAAAACAAGTTTTAGGCTCAATCAGGTTTAAACAAAAATGGGTTCCCCATTTACCTGAATATGTGAAAACTTCTTACTATTCTTATTATTTTCATCAATAGCTTCAATATATTATAGTGTTAAGACCAGTCCCCTGCTGTACTTTGCTTTAAATTTTGCTAGTTACCATGAATTACAGAATTATTTCCTGGGTACCATGAGTTACAGAATTATTTGCTGGTTACCAGGAATTATAGAATTATTTTTCAAGATAAAAAATTCCTGTTTGCATTTTAATTGAGATTGGATTGAATTTATAGGACAATTTAGCAAGAATTTATATGTTCAACATATTTAGTCTCCTGATCCAAAAAATGTTATGCCTTTCAATTTACTTGTCTTCTTTTATGTCCCCAAATAGAATTTTAAAGTTTTCTTCATTTAAGTTCTACGTATTTTTTATTTGTGAATATTTAGATATTTGATCAGTTTATGGGTTTAGAAATAAAATAGTTTCTTCAGCTAAATTTCTAATAGTTGTTGATTAGGGACATGCTGTTGATTTTTTTTTTTTTCTTTTCTAAAGATTGGCACCTGAGCTAACATATGTTGCCAATCTTTTTTTTTCCTTCTTCTCCCCAAAGCAGCCCAGTACCTGGTTGCATATTCTGGTTGTAGGTCCTTCTGGTTGTGCTATGTGGGATGCTGGCTCAGCATGGTTGATGAGTGGTGCTGGGTCCATGCCCAGGATACAAACTCGTGAAACCCTGGGCTGCCAAAGCAGAGCATGCAAACCCAACCTCTTGGCCATGGGGCTGGCCCCATGCTGTTGATTATTATACATTAAATTTATAACCTGCCATTTTACTGAATTCTATTATTGTTTCTAATAGTTTTTAGTAAATCTCTAGGGTTTTTTTTTCTAGATAGATATCATCCCATTCAGATGCCCTTTATTGAGACGGGTGCACCCATCCCCCAGCTGTTGTGAATGTTGACTGCTAACTACTTGTAGCTGCCCCATTCTCTGGAGAACTGCCCTTGGTCGAATGGGAGCTGACTTGCCTGGGAGATAATATCTCCCTTCCACCCTCACCAAGCAGCTTATAGTCAATAACTATTGACTTACTGATTTAAGAGTTGAAAAAATAGCTTGCCTCCTTGTCTCAAAGTGGTACCAATTCTATAGCGCCATTCATGCTCCAGAGCTCTCCATGGGATCAGGCTGAGGCTAAAATTCAGCTGAGATTACATCCCTGTTTATTTCCTCTGCTGCCTTATCCTGCCCTTCTCCCTCCCCTTCCCCGAAGAGCACTTGTCAACAAATCGCATGCTCCTACATCCCTGTCTCAGGCTTTGCTTCTGGGAAATCCAACCTTAAGACAATATGTAATCCTATGGGTTATATAAACAATATAAAAATATAAATAAAAACATTTATGTATATATTTAAATATGTTTATATAAAATGTATTTTTATAAATAAATGAATATATAAATCAACGTTAGACAAATATTATTGGGCATCTGTAATACGCTAGCACTTTCTGGACACTGGGCTTCTGAACAGACCAAGTTCCCTGTGTTGTGGAGCTTACATTTTAGTGGGAGACATTGACAATGAACAAGTAAACAAACAAATAAATATATAATAAGGAGGATAAGAGAGCAGTGTTTGATGGGGGTAGGGGCACTATTTTTGAAAGAGCAACGAGAGAAGGTGTATCAATTTTATTTTTTGGACAAGTAAACAGAAAGCCCATCTCCACGTGGCTTAGGCAAAAAAGGAAGTTTATTATATCATATAACAAAGTCCAGAGGTAGGAGGGCTCCACAGTTAGTAAAACAAAGGTGTCACCAAGGAACCAGTTTCTTTCTGCCTTTCTGCTTTGCCATCTTTGGTGTATCAGTTTTGACCTCTAGACAAAACAAACATAAAGATTCTGAGGCAGAGTAAGTGTTAAACTGCAAAGAATACTTTGGAGACAAATTTAGTATAAAGCCTTGGGGATTTACCTGTTTCTAGGTATATAAGAGAGTGCAGCCTTCCGAAGACTGTCTCTGATCAAAGACAAGGGTGGGACCTATAAAGGCAGAAGCCACAAATTTTCACAAGGAAAAATGATTCCTTGGTTTAAACAACCCCTTGGATTGCCAGTTCGAAACTGCTTGGTAATAGTGGAGCTTGGCACAGCTGATTGCTATGCCCCAAGTCAGTTTGTAGAGTCTAGATAGTTCAGTCACAAATTTACCATTAGGCAGCTTTTCTACTGACTCTAAGTTTTCGAAAAGCAGTTACTCTAGATCCTTCTTCTGGGGAAGCGTTTGTTCTGACGCCTTGCTATATTACAGGCTCAAGGTCATGCAGTAAGTAAGTTTGAATGCATACATTCAAAGTTCAGCAAAAATTTCTTTTACTGCTCTTCTCGTGGTCACAAGATGGCTGCAGCAGTTCCAGATGTCAGAACTAGACACACAATATTAAGAGGCTATCTTGTATCATGCTGTAACAGAGTAATTTACTAAGCCTTCAATAATCCCTCTCAATAGTTAAGACAAGATACACTAGATATAAGGTGCTGGATTCAAAATGCAATACTCATTTCCCCCCAAGCAATGAAGCATTAAAGTATTGGTCAGAATGAGCATCACGGTGACTCACAGTTTTAAAAAGTCAGGTTGAGTCATGCAAGGACAAAAGATTCTAAATAAATTGCCCAAAGAAATATTCAGTTGAGTTTGCATTGCATTCTCTTCTTGTCTAAGTAGATGTTGTTTTGGGACTGTTGATTACATATCGAATAATCCCTGAATTCGAGGGCTCTTTTGTAATTGCTAAACATCTTCAACTTCCCCGCACCGCCTCCCCTAACCAATCTATGTCAAGTTCTGTCTGACTACACTACTTGAGGAGGAAGCTGGGCTTTCAACAAGCACATCTGGAAAAAAGTAGGAAATAAAGGCAGAAATCTCAGCCCTTCCTTCTAGGAAAAATGCTGGATTTTATTCCAACTCAGTGGTGGTGCACTCACTGTCTACAGCAGGGAAATTTGCCGAGGCCATTGCAATACATGAAATACGGGTAGCTTTGGAGATAATTACAACCTACCACCATCAGATTTCCCTTGTAACATAAAAAAGTTAGAGAGAGAGTGGAGAAAACATGATGGAATTTTTAGCCTAGGAAAAGGAATAAAGGAGAGAGGGAGGCCTAGGGGCCACACAGTCAGACCAAGCCAGTTTCACAATTTCACCTGGCGCCAGGTTGAAATGGTTTACTTCAAAGCTCCTGTGACTGGTTGAACCACATCTTCTCTGTCCTAACTTGGTAATATCTTTGGCAATAAACTGCATTCACTATTGCAGCTTGGCTTGTCTAGCTAATTCAATTCTTCTTAAATCAGTTTCTTGTCAAATATACCCTCTAGTTTGATTCATGATTTTGCCTCCTTTTCACATAAGCAAAAATATACCTCTTTTAAGAGATTTATAGTCCAGTTTATATTCTGGTTAACTGGCCATGGAGCTTGTACTGGCAGAGGAGGTAACACAGCTGGCAAAACATGAATTCATTCCAGAAATGTTTGCTGAGGGTCTGCTATGTGCTAGCAGAGGATGAGACAAGCAAGACAGCGCTCTCTTTAAGATGTTTAGCAATTATTTATTGCTACTGGAATTGATAGATACTAAATCATTTAGGAGACACCATACCCTAGTCAGTAGACATTCATTAACAAACTTCATTGTTTCGGGGCTAGAGTTCCATAGAAGGATAATTGTGCCAGCCTCTTCAGCTTTCTGGGGGAACTTGGAGCTTATTCCCAAGATATCCATCTCCATCACAGAGTGAGGGCATAGCAGCAGGAAGCTTGGGTCTGAATGGAATGGCATTATGCTGATACACTGAATAATTCCATATTACGTTTCTTTGGTTGACTCAGTCTCCCACCAAATATTTTTAAAACTTCTATTCAATTTACATGTGGATGCTTTCATGCATTCTCTTATTTATTCATCTAAATATATTTATTAAGCACTATCTGTGGATGCATGAGAACTATCAGCATCATTCCCAAGATGGAGGCTTTTGGGAAGCTGATCATTCTATTTCTGGTGCCTCTCCAGGCTGACTGGATTTAGCTTGAGATGCTCTTTACAATAAATGTTATCTCCACTGGTCTGAGATTTGGCATGGGCACTCTCAGCTTCCTGCAAATGAGGACTGGGGTTGTAGAGAGGAAAAATGGGATGTTTCTGCTGAAATCTTGAAGATATCCTGAACATACAAATATCACAATTAGAAAAACATTTATAAGGAGGAAATGGTATGCTGCTTGTTGTACATTTTCAGGCATTATCTCTTGACTGTGATGTCTTTGATATCCTCCAAAGACCTTTTTTCCTTGATTACTATACCCCAAGACCCAAGCTACTAGGTGCTTTGGAGACATCCTGCCATATCCTCCTTCTGTCTTCCCTCAGCATGGAAACCTGTTAGTGATCAACTGTATCACCATCGTCTTGGTGCTCAGTTGTATCACCATCTTCCTCACTTCTGCTGAACACCATCTCTAAAAGACACAGATGGCCAGACTGTGGAAGAAAATCAATCAGTGTCCAAGCTCAGACAAAAAAAGTAATAAATTAATTTGCTTAATTGTTTTCTCTTTAGGTTGTAGGAGTGAATCTTTATTCATTCAGTAAATTGTTGAGGGTTTTTATGTATAAGGCAAAATACTCTGCCTTTAGAAGCAGTTTCACTGTTGTTTTTATTTTTGAGGAATATTAGTCCTGAGCTAACATCCGTGCCCATCTTCCTCTATTTTATATGTGGGACACCTGCTACAGCATGGCTTGATGAGCGGTGCATATGTCCACACCCGGGATCTGAACCAGCGAACCCCAGGGCAGCCAACGCGGAGCATGTGACCTTAACCACTGCACGACTGGGCCGGCCCCCTTTTATTTTTCATATGTGTTTAGTTCCACTGTTAAAGGTATCTCTGCAGAATAGTTACTCCTGTATGTGTGTGGGAAATCCAGCCTCCAAGATGGCCTCCCAGTGATGTTCACCTCCTGATAGTCCCAACTTTGTGTAATCCCCTTACATATTGTTTCAGGGTTGGTCTATGAATATGGCAGAAGTGATGGCATGTGACTTCCAAGGCTCAGTCAAAAAAATTTGTGGCTCTGTCTGGCCACCCATAGGAACTGTAAAATGATCAATGTTCATCGTTTCAAGCCACTAAATTTTGGGTAATTTGCTATGCAGTAATAGTTAATTACTAACCTCAATGCAGTGTGTAAGGCCAGAATTAATCCATTTAAAGCTTTAAAATGGGGTTTCTGAATAGCCAAAGCAATCCTGAGAAAAAAGAAGAAAGCTGGAGGTATCATAATCCCTGACTTCAAAATGTACTACAAAGCTATAGTAATCAAAACAGCATGGTACTGGCACAAAAACAGACACACAGATGAATGGAACAGAATTGAAAGCCCAGAAATAAAACCATACATCTACAGACAGCTAATCTTTGGCAAAGTAGCCAAGAATGTACAATGGAGAAAGGAAAGTCTCTTCAATAAACGATGTTGGGAAAACTGGACAGCCACATGCAAAAGAATGAAAGTAGATCATCATTTTATGCCATACACAAAAATTAACTCAAAATGGATTAAAGACTTGAATCTAAGACCTGAAACCATAAAACTCCTAGAAGAAAATATAGGCATAGGCAGTACACTCTTTGACATCGGTCTTAGGAGTATCTTTTCGAATACCATGTCTACTCAGGCAAGGGAAACAAGAAAAAATAAACAAATGGACTACATCAGACTAAAAAGCTTCTGCAAGGCAAAGGAAACCACGAACGACACAAAAAGACAACCCAAAAACTGGGAGAAAATATCTGCAAATCATACAGCTGACAAGGGGTTAATTTCCAAAATATATAAAGTACTCATACAACTCAATGACAAAAAAACAAACAACTCAATCAAAAAATGGACAGAGGACATGAACAGACATTTTTCCAAAGAAGATATATAGATGGCCAATATGCACATGAAAAGATGTTCAACATCACTAATTATTAGGGAAATGCAAATCAAAATTGCAATGAGATATCACCTCACACCTCTCAGAATGGCTATGATTAACAAGACAAGAAATAACAAATGCTGGAGAGGATGTGGAGAAAAGGGAACCCTCATACACCACTGATGGGAATGCAAACTGGTGCAGCCAGTATGGAAAAAAGTATGGAGATTTCTGAAAAAATTAAACATAGAAATACCATACAATCCAGCTATTCCACTACTGGGTATTTATCCAAAGAACGTGACATCAACAATTCAAAGAGATTTATGTTTCCCTATATTCATTGCAGTGTTATTCACAATAGCCAAGATGAGGAAGCAACCCAAGTGCCCATCTACAGATGAATGAATACAGAAGATGTGGTACATATAGATATATATATATATACACACACACACAATGGAATACTACTCAGCTATAAAAAAAGACAAAACTGTTCCATTTGCGACAACGTGGTTGGAGCTTGAGGGTAATATGCTAAGAGAAATAAGCCAGACAAAGACAAACACCACACGATTTCACTCATATGTGGAAGAGAAGCAAACACATGGATAAGGAGAACAGACAGTGGTTACCAGAGGGGAAGGGGGTGGGAGGAGGGCAATAGGGGTACAGGGGCACATGTGTATGGTGATGGATAAGAACTAGATTGGTGGTGAACATGATGCAGTCTATGCAGAAACTGATACATAATTTACACCTGAAATTTACAAAATGTTATAAACCAATATGATGTCAATAAAATAATTTTAAAAAATAAAAAATAAAACAGGGTTTAATCAATCAAAATGATTTGCAATAATAGAAATAACAATTTTTTTTAAGATTGGCACCTGCACTAACATCTGTTGCCAATCTTTTTTTTTCTTCTTCTTCTCCCCAGAGCCCTCCAGTACATAGTTGTATATTCTAGTTGCAAGTGCCTCTGGTTGTACTATGTAGGACGCCACCTCAGCATGGCCTGATGAGCAGTGCCATGTCCGCGCCCAGGATCTGAACTGGTGAAACCCCGGTCCGCCAAAGCAGAGTGCATGAACTTAACCACTTGGCCACGGGGCTGGCACCTGTGGAAGTTTTTTATAAAAGCAATAGAAAAATAATATAGGTGGTACATTTTTTCAGATCTTACAAGTCTTAAAGTGTCTATGTTCAATCTTCACCTTGATTGATAGTTTGGCTGGTTATACTATTGTAGGTTGGAAGGCATTTCTCTTCAACACATTAAAGACATTGCTCCATTGTCTTCTTCCTTCAAATGTTGTTGAGAAGTCTAGAGTCATTTTTATTATGATTTCTTGCATGTGATCTGTTTTTTTTTTTTTCCTTTCTGGACACTCAGAGTATCATCTGTTTCTCTCTAATGTTTTGCTATTTCACAACACTTGGGTCTTTAAGAGTATAAAATTCTGTATGTCAGAAACCTGGTGCTTTAAAACTCCATAAATAAAATTGAAAAGCAAACAACAAACTGGGTAAAATATTTGCAACATTTGGAATAAAGGGTTATTATTCTTATGATAGAAGATACTCTTACAAATCAGTATAAAAAAAAGAGTTCTCCAAAAGAAAAACTGAAAACAGTAATTCACAAAAGAATATGAAAATGGCTAAGAAACACATAAAAAAACTATGGCCTCACTAGAAGTAAAATAAATGCGAAATAAAACTGTGAGAAAGCACTTTTCACTTTTTCAATTGGTAAAGATTAAAAAAACAAACAGCCAATGTTGGTTAAGGTTTCAGCACTTTCATATGCTGTTAATAGAAATGTGAAGTCATTCTATCAACATCTAGTCTCTTCTAGATGAAGTACAATTTCGTTAAGTCAGATCAAAAACTTTTAAAAATGCTCATATCCTTTGATTTAGCAAATTTGCTTCTGGGATTTTATTCTAAGGAAATGGTAATGAATGTGAATAAAGACTTAACTATCACCTTGGCCATGTTGTATATAACACTGTGAAAGTGGAAACAATCTACATACTCAACAATATAAAACTAGTGAAAATCTCTCTACGGCAGTGGGACGTTTTAGCAGAATATAGAAGCAAATTTATTGTATAAAAAGGGATCAGTATTGGTAAGAAGCTGACTCATGGGGAGCTGAAATGAAATGCGATGAGAAAAATTTTTTTTTATAATTCTCTGGACTCTGTGCTTTGTTAGTAGTAAGGTTGTTTTCTTTCTAGTGATGAACTATTTCTACTTCCAGACATTGAGGGGATATAAGAAGGGGTCTTCAATAATGTCGATAAAATGATAATAATCATAGCAGTAGCAGCTAACATCAAGTATATACTGTCTGCCCGGCAACCTGTCAAGTATTCATTTAATTTCCATAGTAACCCTTTGGGGTAAGTAGTATTACTTTTTTTTAGATGTGAAGACTGAGGCTTGGAGTTGTTGAATAAATGCCTCAAAGCCACACAGATAATAAATATTGCAGTTAGAATTCAAACTTTGGCAATCAGGTGTTATGGACTGCATGTTTGTGTCCCCCCCCCGCCCCCAAATTCATTTGTTGAAACTCTAATCCCCAATGTGACGGTATTTGAAGATGGAGCCTTTGGGAGGTACTCAGATCATGAAGGTGGAGTCCTCGTGATGGGATTAGTGCCATTATAAGAGGAGATACAAGAAAGTTACTTCTCTCTCCGCTCTCCACCGTGTGAGGATACACCAAGAAGATGGCCATCTGCAAAGTAAGAAGACGGCCCTTACCAGCTACTGAATCTGCCAACATATTGACGTTGGGCTTTCCAGCCTTCAGACCTGTGAGGAATAAACGTTTGTTGTTTAAGCCACTCAATCTGTGATATTTTTGTTCGAAGCAGCCTGAGCAGACTAAGACATCAGGATTCCAGACATTCTTATCCACTGGACTAAACTGCCTCAAATTAGTAAACAGATTTAAAACAATATGTGTGGTAAAATCCCATTTTTGTATATAATAAGCGGCTCTGCAATGTAGAATTTTAAATTTTTTTTAGCAGAGAAACTGCCATTTAAAATTGACAGCTGCATCTGTTAGTGGAACTTCCCCAATAGCCCGTTGTTCTGGAAGCGGGATTCCTTTTAATTAGGTAGTTGTAAGGCAAGCAGTGGAAGGGTGTAGCTGGACACTTTGGGAGTTGCCAATGCTGCTCTTATCATCACATCCATGTATAAGCAGTTTGAAGGTTGCTGGGAGAAAGCAAATTTTCCCAAAGACTAAGGAGCCTCTGGGAAGGAAGTTACTGAGACCCTGACCACTTTCTTCAGGAGGGTCAGTATTATTACATCATGACTGATGCACCGAAGTGGCCCTGACCTGAGATGACAGCAAAACACACCAGGGCTTACCCAGGAGAAATTCACCACGAAGGAAAAGGGATCCTGGACTGCTTACCTGGGCTTAACATTGCTGACTGGGGAGGACAGGTTTCTAGCTCAGTCTTTATAAATCTCACTCTAGCATCACAGGCGTCCCAGGAAAAAAGAGCCCTTGGTGTTTGTAATGCTGAAACTGCAGGCCATCAGAGCACTTAAGTTTTAATAGCTCCATCTTGTGAACAGTCTTGATATAGCAGATCTGTTTCAACAGTGACACCTTGTGGGGCGCAGGTAGGAGAGATGGGGTCTGTGAGGACTACAGCAGTTTTCCATTCTTTCATTTTTCATTTTTCCAGCTTTATTGAAGTATAATTGACAAATAAAATTGTAATATATTTAAAGTGGACAATGTGACATACATATACATTGTGAAAGGATTCCCGCCATCGAGTTTACACATTCATCACCTTTTCTGTATGTGCATGAAAACACAAGTTCTACTGTCTTAGCAAATTTTAATTATACAATACAGTTTTTTCAACTATAGTCACCAAGTTATCATTAGATTCTCAGACCTTATTCATCTTACAACTGAAAGTTTGTACCCTTTACCAACCTCTCCCTATTTCCCTTACCCCGCAGCCCCTGGCAACCACCATTCTACTGTTTCTACGAGGTTGATTATTTTCCCCCGCAGATTCCACATACAAGTGACACCATGCGGTATTTGTCTTTCTCTGTTGCTCATTTCACTTAGCATAATGCTCTCCAGGTTCATCCATGTTGTTGCAAATTGGTAGGATTACCTTCTTTTTTATGATGAATAACATTCCAGAGAGTGTGTGTGTGTAGCCCACAATTTCTTTCTCCATTCCTCAGTCCACAGACACTTACAAGTTGCAATGAACATAGGAGAGCAGTGAACGTAGTAGTACAGATACCTCTTTGAGATAATGATTTCATTTACTTTGGATATATATCCAGAAGTAGGATAGCTGGATCATACGGTAGTTCTAAGTTTAATTTTTTGAGGAAACTCCATACTGTTTTCCAAAGTGGCTGTACCAATTTACATTTCCACCAACAGTGTACGAGGGTTTCCTTTTCTCCACTTCCTTACTAGCATTTCATATTGCTTATGTTTTTGATAATAGCCATTCTGACAGGTGTGAGGTGATATCTCACGGTGGTTTTGATTTTCATTTTCCTGATGATTAGTGAGCACTTTTTCCTGTACCATTTGTATTTCTTCTTTGGAAAAATATCTATTCAGGTCCTTTTGCCCATTTTTAAATTGGTTTTTTTCTTGTGTGTGAATTGTATGAGTTCCTCATACATTTTGGATATTAACCCCTTATTGGATATGTGATTAGCAAATATTTTCTCCCACTTCCTAGGTTGCCTTTTCATTTTGTTGATGGTTTCTCTGCTGTGCAGAAACTTTTTTAGTTTGATGTAGTCCCATTTGTTTATTTTTGCTTTCGTTGCCTTTTCTCTTGGTGTCAAATCCAAAAAATCATTGCTAAGCCCAATGTCAAGGAGCTTACCCCCATGTCTCCTTCTAGGAGTTTCATGGTTTCAGGTCTCAGATTCAAGTCTTTAATCCATTTTGAGTTGATGTTTGTGTGTAGTATAAGATAGGGGTCCAATTTCATTCTTTTGCAGGTGGATATAAAATTTTCCCAACCCCATTTATTGAAGAGATTATCCTTTCTCCATTGTATATTCTTGACTTCTGTGTCAACAATTAATTGACTATAGGGGTTGGCCTTGTGGCTTAGTAGTTAAGTTCAGTGTGCTCTGCTTCAGCAGCCCAGGTTTGGTTCCTGGGCACGGACCTACAGCACTTGTCAGTGGCCATGCTGCAGCGGTGACCCACATACAAAATAGAGTAAGACTGGCAACGGTGTTAGCTCAGGGCAAATCTTCCTCAGGAAAAAAAATTAAGTGACTATATATGCATGGGTTTATTTCTGGACTCTCTATTTTGTTCCACTGATCTATATATCTGTTTTTATGCCAACACCACACTGTTTTGATTACTATAGCTTTGTAACATAGTTTGAAATCAGGAAGAGTGATGCCTCCAGCTTTGTTCTTTCTCCAGATTGTTTTGGCTATTTTGGGTCTTTTGTAGTTCCATATGAATTTTGGCATTTAAAAAAAATTTCTGTGATAAATGCTGTTGCAATTTTGATAGGGATTGCATTGAATCTATAGATGGCTCTGGGTACTATGGACATTTTAACAATCCATGTACACTTTTAACAATCCATGGATACTTTTCCAATCCATGAACACAAGATATCTTTCCATTTTTGCATTTTCTTCAATTTCTTTCATCAATGTTTTATAGTTTTCGGTATACAGATCTTTCACCCCCTTGGTTAAATTTATTCCTATTTTATTGTTTTTGATGTTAGTGTAAATGGGATTGTTTTCTTAAATTCTCTTTGATAGTTCACTGTTAATGTATAGAAATGCAACTGACTCTTGTATATTTGATTTTGTATGTTGCAACTTTACTAATTCATGCATCTTTCATTCTTAAAGCCAGTTATAAGCAAGATTGATCCTATGGATCCTCTTTCTGAGTCTACCATGGAAGGACACCAACATACAGTACATATGAGGTACCGTGTATACATGTTTAATATATATATAGATATAGATATCTAGAGCACCAGATACTCCCAGATGGTCTCCCATCCAAGCACCAACCAGGTCCAACCCTGCCTATCTTCTGAGATCAGGCACATTCTGGGTGGTATGGGCGTAGACACACCTGTTTAATTTGAATGTTAAAAACAGACATATACACCAAAAGACAAATGACAAAATGGTAATGTAAAATATATGACAAAAGAATGATTTTCTAAATAAACAAAGAGCACTCAGGTGTCAATAAGGAAAGACATGGGTAATCCAATAGAAAAAGGGCAAAAGAATAAAAATAAGTAGTTAACAATAAAAAGAAATATAAATAACACTTAAAAAGAGTTCTGACTTCATTCATAATTAATTTTTTTAATTAAACATGAAGATTAAAAGCATAGTGAGATGCTACTTTTCATCTAACACGTTAATAAATATTAAAAAGTAGGATACAATTCAATGTTAGTGAAGGTGGGAAGAAACTCTCACAAATTGTTAGTGGAAGTAAACATTAGTGCAAAACTTTGGAAGGTAATTTAGTAACATATATCCAAATTTAAAATACACATACACTGTAATCCATAAATTCCACTAAGAATTTAGTAGTGTTTTTCAATTATTTTTTGTTTATATATTATTTAAGATACATTCATTTGCAAGTAACAGGAAAATCCAACTCAAACAGGTTCAAACAACAATGCAGATTTAATGGGCCATGGACCTAGATCCCAGAAACAGGGTGGGTATCAGCTCTGGTTTGATTCGGCATCTCAGTGATATCATTGGTGACCCAGTTTCCTTCTAGCTCTCCTCTCTGACTTCTGGCATGTTAGTTTCATCCAAAGGCTAATTCCTCATCAAGGTCACAAGACGGTTGCCAACAGCTCCCAAGGTACAGTTGACATATGCATTCTTTTTAAAGATTTTATTTCCCTTTTTCTCCCCAAAGCCCCGCAGTACATAGTTGTGTATTTTTAGCTGTGGGTCCTTCTAGTTGTGGCATGTGGGACACCACCTCAGCATGGCCTGATGAGCAGTGCCATGTCCACACCCAGGATCTGAACCCGCAAAACCCTGGGCTGCGGAACTTAACCACTCAGGCACGGGGCCGGCCCCGACATATGCATTCTTTATGGCTGCAAGGCACCTTTGAAAACCTTTCCTACAGGAAGTTCTCCATTTTATGAGTCCTTACTTCACGAACGTAGAATCCAGAAATTCTGTTTCCCAGTCTACCTTGCAGCTCTGCCAATACAAACATTCAAACTTTGTGACATGAAGATGCAAGAACCATGCAGAAATCCTTCTGGGAAGGGTGGCAGCACTATCTCCAGAGGCTGCAGTTGCAGAGGTTCTGGCAGAAGCCTGCTGGGACCAGCACCCTTTGCCAGTGGGGTATCTGTGCTCAGTGGGCTGGCAGTGGTATTTTCTCTGGAGCAGTTCTGCAATAGGATACATTCTCCTGTGTGGCCCTGAAACCTGATTCTCTGGCCTTTCCAGAGATTCTGTGAACACCCTGATATCCTTTTAACATATTTAAAATTAAAATTTTTTATTTTATTAAATCTTATCATTTTTTACTTTTTTATTTGTTGGGGAGGAAGATTGGCCCTGAGCTAACATCTGTTGCCAATCTTCCTCTTTTTGCTTGAGGAAGACTGTTGCTAACATCTGTGCCCATCTTCTTCTATTTTGTATGCGGGACGCTGCAACAGCATGACTTGATGAGTGGTGTGTAGGTCCATGCCCAGGATCTGAACCTGTGAACCACAGGCTGCCAAAGAGTGCACAAATTTACCCACAAC